TACGATCATATGTATTTATAGTTTTAAATGCTATATTTACACTTTAGTTTCTTCATAATTCCTGTAATTGTATCATTTTAACTAGTCATTACATGTTTTCTCTTTGGAGTTCCTATGTACATTTGAAATCACAGTTTTGGACATTCCAGATATATATTTAAAATTGATATGCTTTATGCATACTAATTACATATATTTCTGCTCAATTTCATGGGCAATACCTAGGATCATATTATATGAAAAACTTCTCAACCAAAAGAGAAGTATTTGTATGTCTGAGAAATGATTTGCAGGTATTATTTTAAAAATAGCACTTCAGATACTTTTGTTGCAAATTACCAAAATGAAAAGTAAACAAAGGCTTTTCATTTTTTCTTTTTGCTTTTGATTTACATTGAAAATGGGATGAAAATAAATGCAGGGAATGGGCAATGAAAATGGTAGAGAAACACCAGCTAGACAATTGTAATTTCTTTAGATTGGGAGTAAAAATACCCTGGACTGCACTGTTGTGAGAAAAGATACAATGCGGAATAGGCTTGTAGTGGAAGATGCCTAATAGAAAACAAGCAGGAAATTAAAAGAGCAAGGCTGTTAGATGTGAAGGAGGTTTCAAGATTGAGACCTTTGATATTGCTCTTTCAATACATGGAATCAAGCTATTTACACTGAAAAATGAAGAAAAGGAGAAATGGCCAAAGTTAGGCAAAGAAGATGGCTGATTTACGCTTATGTTGCCAGAACTTCCACCAGCAGCCAGCTTGAACAAAAAGGATACAGAAAAAAAACAGTATTTTTTTCCTAAACAGTTCTAGTAAAAATCAACAAAAAATGCTTCATTTTTTGTTACTTACCTGAGGTGCTTTGTGTATATGTTCTCTTTCAAAAAAGATCACTTACCGTTACATGCTTCGGTTAGATTCTTTTTCAAAAAATATGCAATTTTATATATATCAAATATTTCACTGCCCATTGAGCTACCCCAGAAAGCTCTGCCATTGTCTTATTCCAATCTGATCACACATCACAGTAGTTGAATGCTTTGATCAATTATCAGTTACTTTAGGTCAAAATGTAGCACAGACTGAGATTTTTCTTTAAGGATCATATTGAATATGTGTTGTCATCTACACAAATAATGACAATTTAAAAAAATACTAAGTATTCTTTCTCAAAAAATGCATAAATATTTCCTTTGAAGGAATTCATTATTAGTCAAAACACACTGCTACAAAGATAAAAAACAAATAACCAAGACACTCTGTTTTTTTAATGTAGTGTAGTATAAAACCAGACATTTTAGGCTCAGGTAAACCAAAGTGCGAATTCCTATTCACCCCCTTACTACCCGTGAACACTTGGGCAAGCTACCAAATCATTCTGAGGAATCAAATTCTTTGTCAGAAAATACTTAAATTATATCTATAATTGCTTACGAATACTCTTTCTCCTTCTGCTTAAAAAATTTGACCTTCAGTCAACTACCTAACTTTGATCCCTTGGCAACCCAATAAGGGTAAAAATGTTAACTATGTTTCTAGGCAACACTGTATATGGTAAAAATGACCTCTGACTGATAAAGTGTATCTTCATCTGATAAACTGCATGTAAATACCTGATAGGCAGCAAAATGTTGGGCTTCGCTATGTGCAAAGACTCATAATTTTACACGTTCCATTGGGTTCCTGGAAGCCAGGCCTATGGAGTTGTTGCAGGAGATACCATCTTCTGTGAGCATAAGGCTCTTAGGCCAGGATGGTTTTCACACCTGTCTGATGTGAGTCTCATCTCCTTGCACCAGGCTGTCATCTGTAAAGAAGCTAGCTCCCAGAATGCTGTAAGAACTGATATGGGAACTGCTGCAAGTTCTCCTACTGAGAGAAGCAAGCTGTGGCCTCTGCCCTAGAGTGGTACTATAAGTAGACTTGTGAGAATAAATGTTTAGTTAAGCCTAAAACCCCTTGTTGAGCATTTCATGTACCAGGTATGGTTGCTTTGAAAACAAACTAAGACACTATATGTAAATTGCCTTGTACACAAATTTGACTTTTCCAGCTTTTTCAACTTTTTTGTTTGGAATGTCCTTATCTTAAATGTAGTTCTAATCTAAACAATACCCCTTTTATCCTCCTCTTCGTGACTCCATTTCCCACTTTGTCATAGCCATTCAAGCTCAATTATTTCTTCCACTAACAACCTTTAACTAGTTCATCTGAACCAGAAAAATCTCCCTAACTTTCCTTGACTCTCATAGTAAG